TATATATATATATTGATTTTTATTTCTAGGATTTCAATCTTCAAGCAAGTATAACTTCTTCGCCTAAATTAAAAAGCTCAAGTGAATTTTCTTCTTCAATGAGGTTAGTTTTATTTTTATCTCTTCCATTATTTCATAATGTCAAATTTTAAGAATTAAATTCAGCTAAAACTATCTAAATTTAGCCATTATCGAGATAATCCCATGAGGTTGCTAATAAAGGTCTCATTATTTAAGTGAAAAAAACTAGAGCAGTATCCTATAATGGACCATCATAAAACTAAAATAAATGATAGATTTTCATAGTCATTAAAAAGTTTTTAGTGTAATTTTTAACAAAGACTGAATTTATTTCGTGAAAACATTAAAAAGCTTATAAAAAAAATCCAAGTAAATGTTGGTAGAAAGTTTGAGGAGATCATGAGGCATAGTAAACAGAAACATGTTTGAAGTGTTCAAACCTCTATTACTCGGTAATAATAATTATTGCAGTTTTTTAATACTAGCCTAGTAAATATTTATCCTGTTAAAATTTAATCGAATTTCGTCTTTTTAAGGCACTTAAAGTATGTTTTACGATTCTTTTTATACCATTATTAATTTTAATTTGTTTTAGGGACAGTAAAGATTCTCCCCCACGTATTCCAGCAATAACTCATTCCAGTGAAATGGATTTAATTCAATTTGTGGAATTATTTCGGTCTTTTATGGTAAGATCGAGAAAAGACATACATTCACTCTTTGAACAAATTGCAGCTTCTAAACCAAATTTTCCTGACTCAAATGATTCTCCTGAACCTAAAGTTGAATCCATAGACGAGACTAAATCTGATGAAAAGAAAAGTTATTTAGGTATAAATCAAATTATTCATAATTTTTTAAACTGCAAATTCAAACTGCAGCGAAACTTATCTTTTAATAAGGAAAAGAGGAAAACCAACAGATTCACATTTAAAATCACTAATTTTTAATTTATGAAGAAATTATTTTATATTGAGGCATGTTTTTAGTAAATAATAATTTTTTTAATTCATAAATTAGGAATTTGAAGCTTGCGAAGCTGCTGCAGACAATGACAAAGTTAATTTTATTATTATCTACTCTATTTGAAAGTTTTCATCTTAATATAAAATGAAACTTATCTTAAAATGTTGCTCATGTTGACTCATTTACTCATGTAGCAAACTTAAATTCGATCTCTAGAGGACACTGATTTTAATGTCTGCATGGAATTGATTTAGTTTAGGATTAAAAAAGTTGCAAAGAAGGCCTTGACTTAAAAAATATCATGTTTTTTACGTTTTGTAAAATATTTTAAGTATAAAAATAAAAATGCAAGCCGGTTTTTACGTGTTATAGCTAGAACATCACTTATATATCATTCATATTTTCATTCATCAGTTCATATTTTTTGTCATATTTTTAAATTACAGTTTTTAGATTGATTTTTTTTGTATTTAAACTTAATAATAAATTTTTTTTTGCTGTTGATACAGATCCTATAATAAGATAAAAAGGTCACGTTAATAATAAAACGAATTAAAATGGATGTTATTTTAAAATAGTTATTTTTAATGAAAAATATTCATAACAGTATTTCTCCTGAGATATTGATTTATTTTGGCCAATTAATTAACAACTTTAAATGAAAGAAGAGAAGTAATTAATTATAAAGAATGCATGTCAAATATTTATTTGGAGACCATCTTTAATTAAATATCGATTCAGATTAAGATTCCCAGTTAACAAAATTAAATATATTACAATGAAGATGTGATTCCTTTGAAAAACTTTCCTGTTTATCTGGCTATCAAGTAGGTTTTGAGGTTTTTCATTTCCTCCTTTTAAACAATGCTTCGTCAAAATTTGATAACGTTTTTTTTATATTGTGAGATCTAATATGAAAAGACTTATAAAAGACATATATGTACACTCTATAACAAAAAAATCGACGCACCACGAAGGAGTTGTCCGATTGAAACGGAAATTGGTGGATAGGAAGACAACGTACAGAATAGTAAATGATTAAAATTTCAGAACAATTGAATAATTTATTACAGAGTTACAATAACAAGTTCAATAAGGTGTTGACCCGCCTCTAGCCCGGATACAAGCTGCCACACGGCGCGGCTTAGACCGATAAAGTTCCCGGATGGTCTCTTGCGGTATTTCCTGCCACATTCGATCCAATTGTCGAACGAGGTCATCAACATTCCGTGCCAGATACAATCGCCTTCCCATCATATCCCAGACATGCTCGATGGGAGAGAGATCTGGTGATCTGGCAGGCCAAGGAAGAGTTTGACAAACTTGCAGACAGTTCATAGCAACACGTGCCGTAGGTGGTCTGGCATTGTCCTGCTGAAAAACCAGCCCAGGGAGCTGCAAAAGGAACGGTAGCAAAACAGGTCTTAGAATGTCGTCGACGTACCGCCGTGCAGTAAGTGTACCTCTAATGACGACCAAAGGGGCATGGCTGTCAAAGGAAATGGCACCCCAGACCATAATGCCTTGTTGAGGGCCGATATGGCGTGCAATAGTAAAGGCAGGATCCCCCCCTCTGCCCTGTGCTTCTCCAAACACGTCTTCGATGTACGTCAGGACACAGTTGGAAGCGGGATTCGTCGCTAGATACTATACGTCCCTAGTCGGCATCATTCCAGCCTGATCTGTTCAAAACATTCATGCATACGAAATTTCAAAGCAATCAGATGATTGCTTCCAGGTGCGTCGATTTTTTTGTATATCATAAAGATTTTAAAAATATATATTAAAGGGGAAAATTTTGTGCACAAAAAAATCCCTTAATGAATCAAATTCTGTTAACTGTCTTTCTATTCTTAATTCGGTTTTAAAATCAAATATATTATCTATATTATTTCAATAATTAATATGTATTGAAGGTGAATAATTAATATACAGTGAATATATATTGAAGGGAAAGATTCTGTCTATAAAAAACTCCTTAATAAATCAAATTCTGTCTTCTGTCTTTCTATTCTTTATGTTATAAAATCAAATATATTATCTATATTACTTCAATAATTAGACTAAGAATTGTTTATAGGCCTACTAACTAGAAACACGTCAATGGATTTAAAAGATCAGCACAAGAAGATCTTAGATGCAATAGCTACAGCCAGCATTGTCAGCAATAGCGCTGGTGTAGATACATCAAAAACATTAATTTTGGATCTTCAACAATTTAAATACTTTCTAAGAGAAGAACAAGGTGAAAAAAAATGTGATCAAGAAGTTATCCTTCTCATACAAGTAGGAGTTTTATTTTAATTAAATAGATAGAAATTCTCTTTGTAAATAGAATACACTGTTAGAAATTTCTTGGAAAAAATGGTTAAATAACAATCTATTTAATTGCTATTTTACCATACTTAAACAAAGCAGTCAAATAACCATAAATAAGATGGTAATGAAACAGTGAGAAAAATGGTTTATTAAATATTTTGTTTTAAGCCTAAAACGGTTAAATAAAAAGATTGCAGAAACTAAGCCCACCTAATAAAGCAACTGCGTACATATTATAGCCGAAAGAGCTAATCTCATAACCGACAAAGTCCCACCTTTGGCATTCTTTCCAGTGTCTCCAATGCCCATTATCTAACGAGAAGTCTAAATTTCTTTTTTTACGCTTTTGAAACCATGGTAGCTGCAAATGGTTAAAAATCCGTTTTGTGTTCATGATTTTATAACCCTACTAGTTGTAAACGATTTCAAAACGGTAAGGGGGATAAATATTCTTAACATTTACGGTTTATAGGATAGACAGACTGCTACCGGTTATTTCACTATAATTTTGGAATGAAAATTCTAACGGTGTAGACGTCTCAAACATTCACCACTCTTTTCCCCTCTTCGTTAACATGCTACCCACAAATCGTGTTTTTCCTCCACACTAATATAGTCGCACTTCTTACTGAAACATACGGCCATGGGGAAAAAGCAATAATTTGCCTAACAGTGATAACAAAAGGGGGAAAAGTGTGAAGAGTTTGAAAAGTGAGATGCCTATTTAATTTTCACAGAGTATAATAATTTATTCTTTTCTAAAGTGTCACGAGCCAGATATTGAACTAAGACGAAGGAATTGTCTTTCGTTTGAAGGATTTGCAAGATATTTGATGGATAAACGTAATTTTATGTTTGTTCCTGAACATTTAGAACCAAATGAAGAAGTAAGTTGTCTTAAATTTGGATTTATACTACAATTTAAGTTTAGAATAATATTCGTGTATCTTATGGAATCTGTTTCGAAAATATGATTTTTGAATATGCAGAGAATATTTTTATTTACTGTACTGAGATTAGTAGTCAATTCAAATAAGGCAAGTAAGGTTTTCTAAAAATTGCATGGCTCATTTCATATTTTTTTCACGCTTTGTAATTTGATTGACGAATCAATTAACAGATTGTCTAGTTACTGCTACCTGGAAAAATCTTGCCTGTTCATTAAATTCGTTAATCTGTTAAGCAATGAGTACTACTTGGTTCAAAATTCAATCAAATAAAAATATTTAAAATGATAAATTAAAATACTAGATACTAAGTAGTTTTTATTCCTGCTTCAGCGTTTGTTCAAAAGTACATTTTTTATATACGTTTCACTTGTCACAATTATTAATCTAATAATAACTATAATAATAATAAGAAGAAAAAAATTGTTTTATTTAGGAGTTAAATCAATTATTTTTTTAAATATTTCTAAGAATTAAATATTGTTTAAATTTGAATTCCTCAGATTATGTTGCGTTCACAACTTACGATTTTTTAAAAAACTTTTTTAAAAGTTTTAAGTTGGGATAATTCCCTTTTCTTTGTCAGTTTCCTCATTATTTGATGTGAATTTTAGTATAAATGTTGTTTAAATCGCTCTTCATAGACAAATATCTGCCCAAAATCTGCTGACGAATTCTGACGAAATATCTGCCAGATCACGGAGAGTCTTTGAAGTCAAAATTATGCTTTTTAATTCGGCACACCAATCACGAGCGCTTCTTTCAGTTATAGCATCCTCTCCATGCACAGCTCAAATGTCTTGCGACATTAGAATTATGATTAAAACAAAAAGATGCCTAAAATGCTGAAAAAATAAATAAAAAAAAACATGGATTTTGCGGTAGATTAAAATATACTTTGCGGTTTGTTAAACTTAAGGAAAGAAAATGGTGATGACTTACAGTCCCTTGCCAAATTATTGACGCACTATAAACTTCCATGTAAAATCTTAATTATTAGGTGATACTCTACAGCTTTATTGCTTTTATACGACTGAAACTGGTTTGCTATCGTTACGTTCGTGTATCAATTGGTTAAATTAGACGAAATACAGGGTCTTTATAATTAAAGTTCCATTTTGAAATGGCTATAAAAATAAAACTACCCGATCAAATGTCATCAAACATGGTAAATGTCTATAAAAGGTCATGGGATTTTAGTTCGCGCAAAAAAAAAAGAAAAAAAAATCAAAAATTCACCACCAGCGGAGATTGGCGCTGTATGCAATAGTGTTAAACAAATGTGAAATATGCAAATTTGTTTTACACATCATGTGACCTTGCAGTTATAAAAGTGAGGCGCCTTGTCTGAGCTGTCAGTGTTCTGAGTCGACTATGTCTGTTACCATGCAACACCGTGCTTTGCTCGTGAAATGTTACTATGAATGCGACAGCAATGAACGGAGGGCTTTACAAAAGTTCCGTACTGTAAGAGGAAAACGCCGAGGTCCAATGACACGGCATGGTTTACGGCAAATTTACGGTAAAAGACGTGTAAAACAAATTTGCATATTTCACTTTTGTTTAACACTATTGCATACAGCGCCAATCTCCACTGGTGGTGAATTTTTGAACTTTTTTTTTTTACGGGAACTAAAATCCCATGACCTCTTATAGACATTTACCATGCTTGATGACATTTGGTCAGGTAGTTTTATTTTTATAGCCATTTCAAAGTGGAACTTTAATTATAAAGACCCTGTATAATATAAATTCGACGATATGTTATATAAATATAGAATATTTATTATATCAGGTATTATATTAGTATATTATAATAATTAGAATAAATTATTAGACGCACTGTAGTTTTTTAATAATGACATGTTTTGAACGAGTTTCTATGCAATATTTTTCTATTTAAACAAACATGTAATGGGTCGTGAGATAATTCATATGCTTCCTATTTGTATTTAGTTTTAACGTATTGCATTACAATGTTAACCATTTGATACACGAGCGTTAACAACGGTTTCAGCCTCGTAAAAACTCTAGTTTATTCTTTAAAAGCATTATTCCACTTCTGTTCAGAGATGGTAGGTGTGTACCAACGCATACTTATAGCATGAATCACCATTTTATTTATTACATACCCCGTTAACAATTATTTGCGCTTTTTTTGTTGCCATAATCTTCTTTTATGACAATAATTTGTTCTTTAGATAGTGAGTAAGTTTAAATGAAATTCGAATGAAATGTAATATTTTTCAGATTATGGATGAACCATTGTCTCATTATTTTATTGCTTCTTCTCATAATACTTATTTGACTGGCCATCAATTGAAAGGAGAATCTTCTGTTGAACTCTACAGTCAGGTATTAAATATAATTATTAAATCTTTAAGGGGTCTTTCGATCTCATCGAGGGGATATAAATGTACAGAGCACAAGAAAAAAAATGGACCAGTCTGAATGACTTTTGATCTAATAATCGGATCTTCTAGAGTTTTAAATATACGACTTTTTTAACATTTGATTTCTCAGGAACTATTAAACCAATTACGCTCAAATTTCGTATTTTGCCAAATAAAATTTGATACATTAAAATGAAGTGAAAAATGGTATACCTTACAATTGAATTTTTTTTAACTATTAAATAAAATAATAAAAAGTATTAAATATGTATTAAAATTAATTTTTTTCGTGGAATTAATCTTGGATAAACGAATTTTATTATTGTGTGCAAAAATTGTTCTATTCACTTAAAATTTTTTCGATCTCCTGACCAAGCTATTAGGACCATATTTCCCAGATTGCAGCTACCCCTACAATTAAGGGGTCAGAAATCCGTTGAGGGTATGTTTGTTCAGAGAAAGTAAGTTTTTGTGTCAGATTTCGTGTCTTAAAATATCGTCTGCACTAAATAATTAGCATATTTAAATACACCCCCTCGAACCATTAGGAATAAGTCCTAAAACGTGTTCTTTTTTTCTCCTTTGGTGAGCTGTACAACTTTTATCAACCTTCTGTAGATTGTCTTTTACAGGAGTTTAACATTAACACAGACATTTTTAAAGTGTAAATATTTTTTTGGCAAAATGCTGAAATGTTTATAATTAAATTGTCTTTGGAGATAAAATTTAAAGAAAAATTTATCTGGAGCGTACGTTATATGTTCTAAATCTCATTTTAATGACTTGAAATAATGACAGCCAAATATGTATTTTTTTAAAAAATCTGAATTAGCTTAAAGATATTGAAACATAAAAAATATTTTTATATTCCAAAATTAATTTTAAAAAAATATTGGATCTCTATGAAAAAAAATTTTTTTTGACCACTAAAAATTAAACATCCAATATTCAAATGTTAGAATAAATTTAAGCGACATACAAATTTAAATGATCAATATGCGCTCATAAATGATGCTATAATTTTACTTTATAATCGTCGTTGAGCTGCCGACCCAATTTTGGGTTTAGGACTACTTATGCTCAATTCCGTAGCCTTGTAATTTTGAACCCAAGACAGAAGACAAAGGAACAACTGGATCAAGTGTTGGGAGGACTTTTTGATGGAACTAACTCGCCATTGTGTTACACAGTGAGGAAAACCCCGAAAATCTCTTACCGTTAGCCTGAAGGCGAGGGGACTATAGCTCATGATCCGTGTACCACCGAGGATATTTTACGTCGGCACTGTGGTCGGTGCGAACCGGGTGCGGAATTCTGATTGAACAGCCATCTCTGAGATTCGAACCCGGTTTACCTCGTTGGAAGGCGAACGCTCTATCCCCGGAGCTACCATGACTCAAATGCTATACTTTAAAACTTTTACCGGAAATTCGACAAGAATTACCTATACTCAAAAAAGAAGGAAAAAATCTTAAGTATGCTGGGATTTTACTGCAAAGGCTTTATTGAATCTCATCAATGGTCCAAGAGTTATCAAGTTTTAATCTTTATCCACTATCATATTGTTTAATCTTTGTCATCTTGTAACTTCTATTTTTGTAAATTTTATAAGAGATAATCTCGTTAATATTTTCATTGAAATAAACCGATAATCGCTTAAATATTTTAAAAGTTCTTAAAGAGTGTATTTTTTTTGTATACTTTGATACGAGACGTACCTAAACCACTAGTCTTAGTAAAAGAACTTAGTAAATTGTTGTTTTAAAAACATGTCACTGTAAGTACAAAATACACTGGTGTAAAAAATTCGGAGCAGACTTGGCCGATTATCTCTAGAACTACTGGGCCAGCATTAATGAAATTCGATATTGATACAATACAAAACAAGTAACCATTCAACAATTGTAATACACATGCTTGATCGTGCGTAACACTCGTTTGAGTGGGAAGGTATGAAATTGCCCCAGGACAATTCGTTCCAGTTGCCACAGGAAATGATAAAATGCCTTATTTCAAGTATGAAATCACGCTACAACACCTGTAAGAGGGGACCATACCCCCCTATAAACCCATTTTTTTAAATTCTTTAACCGCTGTTTCATACCTTCAGACTCCAACGACGTTTGCGCATGATCATGCGTGTGTATTGAATAATTATTTGTTTTATATTGTATCAATGTATGTACAGATCAAATCGTTCCACTATTTCTAGAGATAAGTGTGCAAATTCTTTTAATTTCCTTCTCCAGTGTACTAATTAACCTCACTAAGCCCTTTTATAAAAGTATTAGTAAATGTAATTTACGATACATAGTAAATTTAAAGCTATGTAATCTACTCCAAATATTACGTACCAAATATTATCTATAAACTGTGTTAATAACTCTAAATGCATGTTATCTTTAAATTTCAGGTCCTTCTAACAGGGTGTAGATGCGTGGAGTTGGACTGCTGGGATGGAGATGATGGAATGCCAGTTATATATCATGGTCATACATTAACAACCAAAATTCCTTTTAAAGTGAATATTTTTTGATTTCAAATGGTTTGCATTTTTTAAATATTTCCTCGGGGGAATTTCTTTTCTGGACATAGCGTGAAATGCGTATTTAAGAAAAGAGACGCAATTAAAAAAAAAACAANTTAAAAAAAAAAAACAAGCTAACATTTAGTAATTAGCAAAAAAAAACCTGACATGGAATTACAAAAAAAAAAATGACAATTGATGCAGAAAAATAAAATTAATAATTATAAAAACAAGCTAACAATGAATTAAAAGCAAAAAATTAACAGTTAATAATAAATTAAAAGTTAATAACTAATAAAAACATAAGAACAATTAAGAAACGCGAGTGAAAGAAATTGATATAAAGATCTAAGGCAGTGTTTCCCAAAGTGTGGTACGCGTACCCCCAGGGGTTCAGGAACAGTTTAGTGGGGGTACGCGTTCTAATGCAAAATATCTTGCAACAAACGAAAATTTCATTTAAAAACAAAGCTAGCCATGAAAATTTTCGATTACGTATTTTTCTATTGGCTATTTTTGCAGAGTTAGCAGGTAATAATTAGTGGTGTCAACAGCCAGTTGTGGTTTTTAACTTTTGTGCAATTTTTTCATAGTTAAAAAATGCATTAATTTTTGTATTAGTGGAACGAAAAATGTAGAAATGATAGACAAAAGTTTGGGAAACACTGCCTTAAGGCAAGGGGACTCGAAAGAGCTGGTTGACCAGTGCTAAAACTTAGCGCCAATTCCTCGGAAACTAATTCCTCGCCAAACACCTTCTTTGTACATTCGCTTTCCTTAGAAGGTATTTATAAATTAAATACATTTAAACATGATAAAACTTCTAAAACACGATGCACATTTCTTATTATTACACTCATTTAAACTGCAATTTATTCCAAAATAGCAAAGAACTACTTTTCAAAGGTTTCCTACCTTTCCCTGTAAGATGAAAAGAAGTATAGTGTTGACATGGAGCTTGAGTAGCTTCTTTATTTATTGGTTTCTGTGAGATATTGTAAATCTGCAATACTTATTTACACTTCCATGTGCAATTGCACAATGAATATTTCAGGGGAAATTTATAAAAGAAGTAACTTTCTCTTTTTTTTCCCAACATATTTTAGTTTCAGAATTTCAGCAAAATATTATAATTAGTCTGAATTTTTGCATCATTCCTTTACAACTAGTGGTATCAATCTCAATAAAAAATTTAGCCTTCATATTAATTAACTTTTTATAGGTTTTAGAAAATTTAAAGTAAATGTTCGATTAAATTTGTTAAAATAATATAATTCAATATAAATTAATTAAAAAAGAAAATAAAGTTTTTAACATAAATTTATTTTTGGCCGTATTTAAAACTACAAAAAAACATCGGCGCACTCTGCCGTCTTTTCGCTTGTTAATTTTTTACACTGCTCCAGTAAAAAAACTTCGCTAAGGCCAAGAATATAGAAAGGGGAAGAAGTTCAGCTTTTCGAATACGTAATCAACTCGGGGAACTGCTCGGTTCGTCATGCTATACCAGGAAAACAACTTACAAGGTCTCATTACTTACATTATTTCAAACATGCTAATCAAATAGTACTAACTATTAATTAAGCTACGAAATCAGTCACAAAAAAGTACTTTCTCTGAATAAACATATACATATCTATATATTTTAACATGTTTGGAATCCTGTCCCTTAAAATTGAGGGAGTAGACAAAATTTCGAAAAAATTGGGTCGCAATGAAGGTTTATATATTTGGCGATAGTCCCAGAAAATAGCCAAGTAAAGTCACCACCGTAAATGAATATTTTAAGATAACCTGTAGACTATTCGTTGTTAAGCAACCAAGTCCAGAATATAAAAAAAAATTAAAGTTCTGTGATTGCTCAGGGAGGTTAAATTAATAAGAATTAATAGGAAATATCTCGAAGTTTCTAGAAAATAGAAAATTTTTAAGCTGATTTCTGTACAAAAAGTAAAGAATTTTTCTTTTTAATCTCCCTTGGAGGAAAATTTGAAACGATTTATTAATTATTAATAATTTTCCAAGCTTTTAGAATTTGAACACATGATTTATGTTGTTTTTATTTAATTTATACGAGGATTTCATACAAAAATCAAATTTACATAACTTATTATAACTATGTACAAAATTTTAGGGATAATCATTTTTACAGCTTTCATCGAGTCTTCTAGGCAAAAAAAAGTGAACAAAAAATAAAATATAGTAATTTTTATGTACATTCACAAGGTATAATATAATTTTCACAAAGTTTACGATATTTATTTTTTCTNTGGATTTCACAGCTTTAAAGAGGGATAAATAGCGATTCCGAAACACTTATTAAAAGCCTTTTTTCTTTAATATTTTCAAAAGTTTGACCACTTGAAAGTTGACAAACTGAAAAAATGGGTATAGACACGCCCCGGTTTACGGTAGTAATTTTTATGTACATTCACAAGGTATAATATAATTTTCACAAAGTTTACGATATTTATTTTTTCTATAAAACAAGAAACTGCTGAATGTTTAGTGGCATTTTAAAATACATTGTAATATGTTATGTTTAGGAATAACATATTGAAATAATATGCTGCATATTATATGATTCCTTGTTTAAAAAATTACTTCATTCTGCCAGATATTTAAGTTACATGGCTTTCTTTGGATAAAGATGACTTGCAAATGGCTTATGTTTCGATAAACATTCTAAAACTTTATTTCTCAAATTCATCATAAAATGTCGCACAGCATGCTCTTCGAATACGATAAGCTACATTTATCACCGAATATTGCTACTATGATTTCTTTGTTTTCTTATGTACACCTGATAAGATACTCTCCTTTTTCGTAAGGTCCTTAAGATACTGAAATGGAGGCACAAAAGCTTAAAAGTTAAAATATGTTACTTCATTAGCTCAAAATATTTGGTCACATAATTTTAATTTTGAAGTTAAAAATAACTTTTATAGATACAATATTGATGCTACGGCTCTCTTACGTTTTTAAAGTTCACGTGAATCCTGTTAAAATATTAAAATGCAAATACTTTTACCAGCATAAAATCCTTATCAAAATAATTATCAAGACCAAAAGGTAAAATAGTATAATTCATGATAAAAACTTCACTGGCTTCAAAAAATATGATGCAGGAAATGAAAGTCGACATGTTTGGAGAGCTCAAATATAACTTTCAGTTTACTTTACTTAGCTTTAACTTTAACTTTAACTTTACTTAGAACTTTAGAGTGTTCAAATATAACTTGTGACTTTAATTATTGGACGCTCAAAACATGTCTACTTTTATTATCTATTAGTTCTTAAATCAATGAAGTTATCTTTTCGATTCAGTTTCTTGGTATTATTCATTTAGTAACACAATATATTAAATTACTACACTCGATATTAAAAAAAACTTTTACTTAAGATATAGGCATAGGTTCTAATATTGAAAAAATAATAATTAGTCAATACGTTCTAAAAAAAAATCAATGCAGTACATTTTTTTTTTACTGCGAGCCTTAATAAAATTTTTAAGGGCATAAAAATATTCTGTTTACAATTGGAATTTCAAAAGTCGATTGTAAAAATGGAATGTCCCATAGAACCAAGAATCAAAATTAAATAGTTACAACGACAGTTATTTCAAACAAGTTAGCGTTTCCGTCCGACTCGAAGTTGTTCGTAAAGGTATTTTTTATTTATCGATTCCAAAGTTTATTCTACCTATATTTTAGGTTATACTTTAGGCGTATTTCGATCGAGTTTATTTCCACACCCTTATTTGCTTAAAATTATTAAATAATTTGCTTAAAATAAATTATTCAAGCTGTATGATTTAATGCATTTATAGTATAATAGTAAATGGGGCTTCCATCGCTTATCCTAACTTTGATACCGCTATCTTTGAATAAATGGAATAAACTTAAATAAAAAATTATAGTTGAATTTTTTCTCGTTTTAGCTTTCAAGGAAGGAATAATCTGTTTCATCCAAACAGATTTTAAATCTGGATATAACGAAATTATTGAGTAGGTTCCTTAGAGCAATATCATTCTTATCTTTATGACGAAATATATGAAAAATTGGTTTTCACAGTTTCTGTAAAAAGTATATTAATCTTCTCGCTACGTAATTTTTTCTATCAAAATAAGTTTAGAAATTGCGTTTTTTGAAAAAGTATTTTCGAAAATTCAGTATTTTTTGCAATCTGATGTATAATCATATTCTATCAGAAAGCGAGCTTCTATAAAACTCGACATTCATTGAATAAATTATTTTTTATTCAATAAAATAATTTATTCAATAAAATATTTTATTCAAATGTCTTTACTAAATTACGAATAAATTTTTAGACAATTGAAAAAGAAACATCGTATTTTACGCTAAAAAAAAAATAAAAAAAAGATTAGCAATCGGTTATTAGCAAAAAAAATATGACTAAAAATTTTCGCTATGCACGCGTAAGTCAGGTTTCTCATTAGTTAACCACATTTTAATATTAATAGCCCCATTTAAGTATTTCTTCATTGTCGCTGAATTATTTTTCTTAGAAATAATTAATTTTAACTTTTCTTTCTTTCTTCTACTAAATAAAAACAAATGAAACTAGAAAAATATGTAGATAAATATGGTATAAAAAATTCGTACCTCATAATTCAACAATTTTCATTCTCAATTAAATTAAATAATAAAAAATAATGAATAATTATTAAATATTATTTTATTAATAATTACTAATAATAATTATTTGAGAAATAATTATAAAATTTTTTTTTTCCTTTTGCATACGTCAACAACAACATTAAGCATGCGTCAAATATTATTTTTTGAATGAAATTATCTTTGGATAAATGAGTTTTATGAGTGGGTGAATTTTATTTTGAATTGCTTAATTAGTTTCAAAAATATGACAACAAAAAATAAACGCAAACAGTGAAATTAAGATTAAGGGGTCCAAACTTTGAATTGCTCTTCTGACCAAACTATGAGGACCCTATTTCCGAGATAGCGGCTACTCCCTATATTTTGAAGATTAGAAATCCAAATATGTAAAGAAATATCTATGTTTATTCAGATAAAGTCTGTTTTTGTGTCCGATTTCATTACTTATTTAATAGTTAGCGCTAAATAAATAACATATTTGATGTCACTCTCAAGAACCATTAAGACTAACACTTAGTACGTAAAAATCCGATCATTAGAACGAAAGTTATTCAGGGTGATAGCTTTTTTTTTGCCGACTGTACATTACCTGCGAACCGGTCATTGGACAATTTTACATGCTGCTTCCCTGCCATTTTATTCTTCCTTTCTAATATCAAAATGTGTTAGCAGATTTAATTATCATGGATGATATAAATGTATTCTCAAAGAGAAATCTTAATTAATAGTAAAGTACTGCTTATCCATCGTGTAAAAATAAAGAATAAACCATCAATAAAAAAGAAAGAGAAAACTTTTTTTTCTTCACCGCAACACTTTCCCAGTATTGGTTAGGAGGAGAGGAGGGTACTTACCCATTTATAGAATCTCTACTGTTGTTCCTTTATACACAGGAACCACAAATAACCTTGGAGATCTAGTTTGCATTAGGTTAATGAAAGCTAGACTTGTATAGTTTGTCTGCGGTAAAAACTCCCCCGTCACAAAGCCTGAGGCCGTCTACTGCTATGGAAACAAGAATAGCGCATTTCACTCTAAGGAATACACAATAGACCGAAGATTCCCTTTCTCTCTAACCGAAACCTGCCCTAAACAGCGACCTCACATCCCTACTTGAAATAGTCATTTTTCGTTACCGTAATCACCGCCACGAGTCCAGGCGAATGGCTAGGGGCTTTAGACAAACCATATATTCTTTAGCTAAGGTATGCAGTTTGTCCATTAGGACTATTGTATCATCAAGTTAAAGTTATGTTAACTAAAAGTAATTCAACCTAAAATTGCTTTCATATAAATCAAATTGAATAATAGTCTTCTAAGTGGATACCATTTTGTTTTAACGGAACACAGTTGAAGCAATAGTAACCACCGTCATTGAAAAAAGTCCCGCTAAATGACGAAGTTCTTAAAATGGAACATACTTAATTGATTGTCTTTAAAGTCTCTTTAATTGTAAATTTGAGAAAATTCATGTTATTTATCCCTTTTTTAAGTCGGCATTTGAACGGTTAAATACGCATTTTGATCGGCATCCATTTTATGAATTATGAACAATATCCATTTTCTTAAGTGCGCTTTTCAAGATAAGTCCAGATCCGATGCGTTGTTATTTTCTCATTAATTTCACAACGCACTGTGAAGCTAAATCACAAATTTATTGAGAACGTTACTCACTATCACTAAATTACTGAGTACGTACGTTACTATCAATATTTTGCAGTAAATGGGAAAAAGAAGGTTATACAGTAAATAAGAAATACAATAAAATACACTCTATAACAAAAAAATCAACGCACCAGGAAGCAATCATCCGATTGCTATGAAATTTCGTTTGCATGAATGTTTTGAACAGATCAGGCTGGAATGATGCCGACTGGGGACGTATAGTCTTTAGACGTACATCGAAGACGTGTTTGGAGACGCACAGGGCAGAGGGGGGATCCTGCCTTCACTATTGCACGCCACACCGGCCCTCAACAAGGCATTATGATCTGGGGTGCCATTTCCTTTGACAGCCGGACCCCTTTGGTCGTCATTAGATGTACACTTACTGCACAGCGGTACGTCGGCGACATCCTAAGACCTGTCTTACTACCGTTCCTTTTGCAGCGCCATGGGCTGGTTTTTCAGCAGGACAATGCCAGACCACATACGGCACGTGTTGCTATGAACTGTCTGCAAGCTTTTCAAACTCTTCCTTGGCCTGCCAGATCAGCAGATCTCTCTCCCATCGAGCATGTCTGGGATATGATGGGAAGGCGATTGCATCTGGCACGGAATGTTGATGACCTCGTTCGACAATTGGATCGAATTTGGCAGGAAATACCGCAAGAGACCATCCGGGAGCTTTATCGGTCTATGCCACGCCGTGTGGCAGCTTGTATCCAGGCTAGAGGCGGGTCAACACCTTATTGAACTTGTTACTGTAACTCTGCAATAAATTATTCAATTGTTCTGAAATTTTAATCATTTACTATTCTGTACATTGTCTTCCTATCCACCAATTTTCGTTTCAATCGGACAGCTCCTTCTCGGTGCGTTGATTTTTTTGTTATAGAGTGTAATTAGTTTTAATTTCGATCGCCGTATGAAAAATAGGCATTCATGTAGAAAACGAATTGTAGCCTCGAAAATTCATTTAATTATAGCTCATATACGCATCTCCTTTTTGTCAAGCATATGTTCAAAACGTTCATGTGTTCATCTCCACTGGAGGAGAACTGGAGATGGTGAGTTCGATCCTAGTTGCCAACTAAACAACTGACTCCTAGACGCATTACACTGCACGCTAAATCTACTGTGGCTGAAAGTCTTTTCGTTGTTTGTGAAGAAACAGCTCCTGTTCGTGTGCTACAACGTCGTCTGGCAGTGGTCAAAATTATGTGACATACTCTCCATGTCTGTTGTCATGAAAAACGGGGCTACATGCTTGGATATGGGTGTTTAAAACTTGTAGTGAATTCAACTGTAATATTTCTCAATCTATTGCAGCAACATGACTCAATGCTTGCTTTCAATGCAGTTTTATGTGAAAAGCATTTCCATCTAGCCTTCCAGTTTAATTCTGAATTAATCTCTTTTTCAGCTCTTTGGTTGGTAATGACATGTATGATTTTATACCAGTAATGATCACTGAAAATTGCATTGAATTATTTTTGTTAAAGAGAAGTGGTTGGTGAAAATGTAAAAAATTGTTTTGTGTAAGGAAAATTGAGAGACTGAGATTATATTTTTTATTAGTGTAAAAAATTAAATTATAAATTGTTTTAAAACTGTTTCAATGCAACCGTCAAATATATAATGCACAGTAAAACATCCAGGTACGATGACTTCTATGTAGTGACCTCCGTTATTTACGAGCACTTATGGGAGGCACGGGATTTTTTCCATAGACTGAAAAAAACCTTTAGAAGAAACCTCTCCCAGTGACCGGGCAAACCTCTGTACCAACAATGGAGGAAAAGGTCAAATAAGGAAACGCGACAAACATATCAAGACAAAAAATATTAACAAAACAAATAAGTAGACATTTAAAATATTTATGTGAGTCTCTTATTTAGTGAGCTCTTTTCATACAACCTCTGGAAGAGGTTGTATGAAAAGATTGAGAATGAAAAGATTGTGAAAAGATTGAGAGGTTGTATGGTTCGGACTTCATCTTGCAATCCACGAAAGATGATACTGTCAATGATTTATTTTTAAAGTTGAAAGCTAAATTTAAAAAAAAATATTTTACGAAAAGCATCTCAAACAAACTAACCACATCTTTTAAAGCTAACTAATTTCTATGATGTAAAATTAANTATTTATGTGAGTCTCTTATTTAGTGAGCTCTCTTCATACAACCTCTGGAAGAGGTTGTATGAAAAGATTGAGAGGTTGTATGATTCGGACTTCATCTTGCAATCCACGAAAGATGATACTATCAATGATTTATTTTTAAAGTTGAGAGCTAAATTTAAAAAAAAATATTTTACGAAAAGCATCTCAAACAAACTAACCACATCTTTTAAAGCTAACTAATTTCTATGATGTAAAATTAATTGCAAATTTAAACAAAAAACAGTTCTATTATTCATAATTGGTAAATTAGTTTTTACGCATAATTATAGTAAGGATAATTTTTAGTGACGCTAAAATTTATTCATCGAACCGGTTTTAATAACACATACACAAGAGGCATTTTCGCACTAAGAAAATGACGCTAGTAAATATTAAAATCGTTAGGGAAAAAGACTAAGATTAAAATAGTTAGCGAAAGCGACTGAAATGAAAATCTTAAGTGAAAGCGACTAAAATTAATATCGTTAGCGAAAACGACTAAAATTAAAATCTTAAGCGAAAACGACTAAAATTAAAATCGTTAGCGGAAACGACTTAAATTAAAATCGTTAGTGAAAATGACTGAATTTAAAATCATTTGCGAAAACGACTAAAATTAAAATCGGTAGCGAAAAATCGTATGTTCGATAACATTTTGAATTGAATGGAGGTAATCCCTAAGAACGACCAACCTCCATTACTGTGGAACAGAGAAGTGTCGCTCCTGAGTGGTTTCACTGTATCTGATTATAACTTTCCAGTTCAAATATTGAAATTTTCAAAGAAGACTTCCATGAGCATGTTTGAATATGGTTTTGCAATAACCATGTCTTTCCTTATTTACATTCAAAATATATAAATAAATTGTTTAACTTCTTTCAGAATGTAGTGGAAGCAATCAACAAAAGCGCATTTGTAACATCCCCCTATCCAATTATATTATCTCTTGAAAACCATTGTTCTCTCAACCAGCAAGCAAAAATGGCATACATATTTAAGGTAAAAATTTTAAAATTTCAGAAATTTCATTGAGCTAAAAAAATCAATTGATATTAAATTTTCATTAATTCTATTTTGTTATTGACATTTTCAGGGAAAAAGTTGCTTTAAATTATCCTCTTGTTTTCTTTAAAGTGATAAAAAAATCATGTACATGATAAAAAAATTAATGAAATTTTCTAGATTAAGGTACTGTAGATACTTCAGAAAGAAAAATGTTACCAAATAGGTCACATAAAATGTAATCAAAGTCATTAACTGAAATACATCATCATCATAGCTGACCAGACAGCCCAATGTGGACCAATGCCTTCCTCTGAAGATTTTTCCATTAAGACTTCCGATTTATCGTTAATCACTAATTCCTTTCATTAATTGCAAGAAAATCAGACTTCACCGAATCAGCTCATCTCAACCGCAACCTTCCCCTCTTTCTAAAAAGCAATATCTTTTTTTATTATATTGTCATCACTTATTCGAATCACTTGGGCCATCAGATTTATTCTATTTATTTTTATGCATTTAATGATATCAGGTTGTACATAAATCTTGCTCAGTTTAAAGTTAAATTTCCTTCTCCATTTATTGTTTACACCACCAAATATCCGCAAAACCTTTCCCTCAAATATTGCGGTATAACTTTCTTCCAGTCTTATTATTCATGAAGTCCAGTCTTATTATTCTTCCAGTCTTATTATTCAGAAGCATATGTCAAGACCGGCTTCACAAGAGTTATGTGAAATAAGAACTTTGTTTTTCTAGATTTGATAAATCTTCTTTCACACCCTAAACAGTCTATTTGCCCTATAAATTTTATTTTATTTCAAGAGACATTCTGTTGTCAATTAACTGAAATACACTTCCCATTAACTGCAATAAATACTTTTAATATTATATTCTGGGCAATGAAGAAAAATATTTCTAAAAATAATAGTTTTAAATAATTCTCTTAATTAAATATATTTTTTATCATTTAGTATTTAAAAGAAGGTAAAAAGAATCGGCTCACTGCAATATGCTGCTTTCAAATTAGTGAAATAATTTAAAGTTTCTGTCAAAGTATTCTGCATACTATCATAGCCGTCATCATAGATAGGAAAAAATCCAGTAGATTGTACAAAATAAAATGAAGTTCATGAAAATTGTTAAATAATGTATTAAATATTTTACACATAGGGAATTTTAGGGATTTTTAGAATCATCAAAAGTAGAAAAACTGCAATATTATCCAGTTATGATTATTATTAAATAAATTTCAAATGTTACGCATTATGTTTACAAATAATTTTGAATAGCGATAGGCATTTAATTCATTAAAGATAATTAATTTTTTTTTAATTAATCTAAAAAGGGAATTCTTGATAAAAATAAACTAAAAATTTTAGAACAAAAAAAGGTTTAAACTGATTTCTATAAATGAGGCTCGCTTTATTATGTATTAGTAATACTTATTTAAATATTTAAGCAAGCAATATTCCGAACAAAAATTCTATTTCAAAGGGGAATTTTTCAGAAAACTTATTCAATTATAGGGAATTTTGTAAAATGTACAAAAAGCAGGAGAATTTTAAATAAACCAGTAGACCAGCGTTTCTCAACCTTTCAGTATTCGCG